GAAGAAAAACTTGATTTTAACAATTTTTGCAATTAGCCACAAGAATATAGTATTTGGCATGACCCTACTGAACACCACCAGTATTACGACTCAGGTCAAAGGCAAAATTTTATCTACAGAAAAATGTCTCCAAATGAAAACTCACTGGCACACTTTTGAGATTGGAAGGGAAATTAAAGAGATTGTTCAACAATAGTTTTCATTCCCACAAAAACAATAATAAAGAAAAGACAACATGAAATCTTGTGGACAGTCTTAAGGAAAGTTTTGAAAGCTATCGAGTTGAAGTAATTGCCTCCCCAGTGTCACCAGATGAAAGTCTGTTAAAGTTGGTCAATGACTCTAAATCCTACAAGCCAGGACAGAATCTTAGATCTCAACTTCACAGCTCTGTTCAGCTCAATACTCAGGGTCTCACTGCTCGTGCTCACTTCCTTTTAAAAATACAAATAAATAAATGTGGTCTATTTAACTAACATCAAATGCCTAGAGTCAGGATTTTCTCATTCTGTGCTTGAAGGATTTTCAACATTTATCCCAGACGGTAACATTGATTAGGTAATATAGAGGACTTTAGAATTGAAACAAAAAGAATTGTAACTTGAATTCTAAAAGTAGTTTACACGGAGATTTATGTGAGAACAACTCAGAGCTTTTTTAGCTACCTGCTAAATATGAGCCCCAAACATGATCTGCTATTAGAAAGGAATTTTGAGTCCCAAGCAGCACTGGAAAGTACAATTATGTATTTGAGGAAAGTGACAACTTTTGCACTGTTTAAATCTCACCTAGTGTTGTTAGAGATGACTCGTTTCATCAAGGTCATTAGCAAACCTGAACATAGTCATATAGAGTGGCAGTCTGATAATAACAACAACCAAGAAGTTAAAGCACAGAGGGTCCTTAAGAAGGGGCATAATCTTTGTGGGCGATGGTTGATAACTCACAATTGTTCAAAGTGCTGAGAATAAGAGTACTGAGTGCTCAGCCCTAAACAAGATATCTATCTCACTCCTTCTAAGGGGGCTCAGGCAACAACAAAGGAGGAGCAGAAATTACCTAAGAGCCAAAGGATGGGGAGGAGTGCCATGAAACTGTCTTCTAGCTATGACATGACCACTGCATTCATGAATTTGCAGCAGCTGTGGTTACCTGCACAAGATGAAGCCTGTCAATATTCAGTCAGGGATGAGGAGGAGCTCACAAAACACCACAGCCCCCAGGAACTATTGGCAAATAATGGCTGCTGGGGGAAGGGGAGTCATTCTCTTCAGTGGTATAGCCACTGTTAAGTTGCCCCTTGCTCCGGTAAGTGACCCCATCTATCCTCACGCCAGCAATCTTAATTAGTCTCATCAGTTCACACACACACACACACACACACACACACACACACACACACACACAAAGTAAAAAAACCATGAAAATAGGAAAGGGACTTGTTGGGAAAAATAAACTGTTCAGCAGGAGTAGGAGGGATAAAAGAAGGTAATGAAGGGTGAAAATGACATACATGTATGTCTGTATACATGTATAAAACTGTCAAAGAATAATAAATAAAAACATTTTTAAATTAAAAAGGGACCTGATCATATCTTCAAATATTTTAAGGGTGATAATAATTAGAACTAATAAAATTGAAGCCAGTTTCCTCATTGGGTACAAATTTCTGTCACTGGAAAGTACTTACATAGTAAGCTCCTGAAATATAACATATTATTTTATACATTATATATAAATGGCAGTAGCTAATGCTCGCAAGCATTTATTATGTCTCAGCACTTTTCAGGTATAATATAATCAACCCTCTTGGCATCTTGTACTCCTATTTTAAAGACACAGGAAGTGATCACAGAGAAGCTAACAATATACTCTATACTGCATTCCCACTCAGTGGAGGAGCTGATATCAGACCCTTCTTGATCTTTACATGTATTCTCAGGATATCTTTTAGGAGAGCTTTATCTTATTTAATTATCACCTTGAAGGTGATACTATGGAGTCTTGGATTGGAGGAATACTACAGCATGAAGGTATCTCATAGATGATTAGTTTAACAAAGATATACTGTGCTAGAGGAAGATACTAGCCCAAAGACATTCCTAAAATTACCCATCTGGTTCGTGAGTCATGATCAGAACTCATGGTTTCAAATTCTCAGCATACTGCTCTTTCCACTGTTTCCTGCTGTTCCTCTTGGGAAACAGTATGATGCACAGTATCACTCACTGTCCAGCTGAAACACCAGATGGACCACTCAATATGGCCAACTCTGTCCTTCCTCAGAGTAAGGCAATGTGTTAGAATACATGGAAGCCTTATAGAATATAATGCATGCTGTTTTCAGTACAGAGGAGGTCAGGGATCAAGAGGTAACCCAGAAGTGTTTCATTGGTATTCCACTAGGCTTCAGTATGTACTGAAAGGGGCTAACAAGATAAAATAAGGAGAGAGATGAGGGATGCTGTTTTGGTTTATATGTAAAATCTCCCCCCTGCCCCCGGTAGGCTCATGTATTTGAACACTTGGTCTCAGACAATGGCACTATTTTGGGAGATTATGGAAACTTTAGAATGTAGGGCCTAGCTGGACAAAGTGGATCACTAGGGGGTGGAAAAAGGAATGAGCCTTGAGGGTTATATCCTGGTCTCATTTCTTGTCCCATCTCTGCTTCTTGTTCCACCAAAATGTGAGGATGTAAGGAGTCCAAGCTGAATGCTTCTGCCACCATGGAGCCACATCCTGCTATACCTTCTCCACTGTGATGGACTGTATCCCTTCAAACTGTGAGCCACAATAACTCCTTCCTCCCTTAAATTATTTTTGTCAGTGTGATGATCAGTATTGACTGTCAGTTTGAAAGAATCTATAATCACCTAGGAGATAAATCTCTGGGCATGTGTGTGAAGGAGTTTCTAGATTAAGGTAGGAAGACCTACCCTGACTGTGGGAAGTACCATTTCATGGGTTAGAGTCTTAGACTGAATAGAAAGGAGTTAAAAAGCTGAGAAGTGGTATTCATCTCTCTCCGCTTCCTGACAGTAGATGCAATGTGAACAAACACCACATCTAGGACAGATGCAATCTAGAAGTAGACAGAAGAATTACCAGATCTCAAAGAAGATAGATAGTTTAGCCAAATCCTAGGATTTGTGACAATATGGTGCTAAGGGCCCAACATCTTCCTGTCACTACCCTAATGTCACTGGTATATTCCTGAGGCAACCTCAAATTTATCCAGAACTGAATGAAGAATCTTATCTATCACATTATCCCCCTACCATTTGTCAAAGTGGACATTGGCCTGCCTGCTCAATGGCCCCTCACCTGATAACAGCAATCTTGTTTAACTTTAGTGAGTTCTTCACGTGGTTTGTAATGGGTTGCTTTATATCCTTTGTCCTAAGCTAGTAAAAATAAAGAACCATATTTCACTGGCCACTGTGGTTATTTTGGAAGAAGTCATTGAGCCAAGTTGGCACCTGATAGCCATCCCCAACCTCAGATCTTTGACTGGACCTTCTGGGGAAGGGATAGACTCTGTTTAAGATTTTCTAAATACACAGTCAAGTTGCTAGAAAGTACCTTTTACTTCACTTGAAAAAAGTCTACCTGAGAATGGAGCCAAGGCTGAATATTGAGAAACTATAGACAGCTGAGCCTGACATCAGTTGCACTCCTGGAAGGCTCAGAGTCAAGGGACTTTAAATATCCTGTTTATTGAAATTAATTGGATTCCTATGAATACTGATAGTTCTACCTTTCTATTATTAAATCCAGAGGGACAGTAATGGATCAGAGATGGATGCCTCCTCAGAACAGCCTTAGCTCCCCACACCTCTGTTAACCCTCCCTAACCCCAGAGGCTCTGTATCCCATTTAATATCCTGACTTGACAAAGTCTTCTGAATCATTCTCCTGCCTCTCCATGCATTGGTAACTAAACTATCTCAAACAGATTAGACTGTTCACTATTTTTCTTTTAATTATGATGCTATGAAAGAGGAATACTTCTAAGATCATCAGCACTAAATAATATGATGTGCGTTTCAATGAAATGATCACAGGATAACTCTGTAGTCCAAAGGCTTTTATGAAGGAAAATCATACAGGCTTAAGATGTTAAGTAAAATAAGTACAATTCTTCGAGATTTTCACATGCAATATTGGGCCAGGACGGGTGTGTACATGAGAAAAACAAACAGATGGAACATCTCTTGCTTGGTGCTAACTTGGGACAGGTTTTGAATGGGGAGGAAGGAACATTGTGACAAATGGAGGGTGGAGACAAGCTGAGGGATGTGCGCAGAGAGCATCTAAACTAGAGACTCTGTCATAGAGGGTCTTTACCAACTCCAAATCTCATAATTCCAAGTTTCCTATTTGTCTCAACACAGCAAAAACATTATGCAAACTAGAGTCAAGATTGATACCAACACACTCAAGGATACTGAGCATAAAATTAACAGCCTCCAGGAAGGAGCTGATGTGCTCCAAGGGAGAAAAAGAACACAGCAGGATGGTTGATTGGCACTAACCACATCATCCCAGAGGTCTCTGCTGGCTGTTCTGACAGCATTGGGGTTTTCTTGTAGCCCCTTGGAATTTGTACAGGGTAAGGTAGGGTGTGCTGTATTTTATTTCCTTAATTAAAACAAATTCTGACCTTGAAAGAACACAGGGTACACCCTCTGTGGCTTAGACATAATGAACTTGGAGGTTTGGGGAGCTTTTCCATAGCTCAGATGTTCTGAGTCCTACTTCCCTGAGTTGGAAGGTTCTGGGAAAGTGAGTAGTGCCCATAGTTTGCATGTAGTGTATAAGAAACTTTTGTTTGTCTTCAATCTGAGCAGCAGCTGGAATCGCTGTCTCCTCTTTCCCATTGAAACTACTTGGGCATAAAACTACATGCATAAAAATGACCTTGTGCAACCTTGTGTGGTAAAATAAAACAAAAATGCTGTGTAACTGGGGATGTGGCTTGGTTGTACAGTACTTACCTTGCATACACAAAGCCCTGGGTTCAACCCTGGTAAAGTCATCCCATCTGTATCCAAAAGAAGTAATCCAAACCACATCCAGACTCCCCAGGCCATTTGTCTGCACAATGATAAAGCATCTGGTCAACCCTGAAAGTCTTCTTGATTCTAGAATACATTCACTTACTACATGTACCCAACAAATCTCAATCAAGTATCCAATTAAATGTATGAAATATTTCATTTAACTGAATTCTTCAGTTTATATATGAACTTTTCAGTTTATCAGTTTCACCCCTTTTATTTATATTTTTCTTTCGTCCTAACAGCTATACATAATTTAAACTTGATTGACTAAGTATGATTGTGCTGTCCAGATTTTCTCATGAAAAGTTTTCTCTGATGATATCAACAATGGGATAGATTAAATGGGTGGGGAAGAAAGAAGGGATCGGAAAATACAGTTCATGGATAGTCTAGAAGATCAGTATAATACAGAGAAAAAGAGTTCATTTTCCTTTTAAATTTATTTTATTTACTTTTATTTTATATGTAGGAGTGTTTTGCCTGCCAAGTGTACCCATGTTGAACAATGCCCAAGGAGGCCAGAGAGGGTGTCAGATCCCCTAAAACTAGAGTTTCAGACAGTTGTTAGCCCCCATATGAGTGCTAGGAACCAAACCCAAGTCCTCTACTAGAGCAGCCAGTGCTTTTAACTGATGCATCAACTTTCTAGTCCCAAGTCTATTTTCTTATTTCATACCATAAAGAGAAAAATAAATAACTATTAAATATGAAATTATTTGATGTGGCATGATGAAGAGACTTTCAAGTATCTAAGTATAGACTTTTAAATAACAGATTGACAAGATATCATTTAAAATGTTAATGTATGAGGTGAAATATGTTGAAAGTACATTATATATGTAAATGAAAATGACCTTATATAATCCTTTATAACAATAAAATAAGAAATGCTATGTAGCTGAGGGTGTGGCTTGGTGGTAGAGTTCTTGTCTAGCATGCACACAGCCCTAGGTTCAATTCTCAAAAAGGAAAAATACATAAATAAATTACTATAAAATAAAATGTTAACATCTATAAACTAAATTATACACAAAATTAAAAAAGGTTTTAAGTCATAACCTTGGGAAAATAACTTATTTTAAAAGGTACAAAGGATTGAGGGGACGGCTCAGTGAAAGATGTCCTTGTCATAAAAGTATGAGGAGCTCAGTTCAATCTCCAAAACCCACGTGAAAAAGCCAGATGTGGTAGCACAATCCCAGGGCTGAGGAAGCAGACAGGCAGACCCTGGGGGCTTGTTAGCCACCTAGCCTGATCTACTCAGCAAGCCCCAGGCTAGTGAGAGATACTGTTTCAGATAATAAGGTGGGATGCTCCTGAGTAACAACATCCAAGTCTGACATCTAGCCTACATGTGCATGTGTGCACGTACACATATACCCTGCCACAAATTATGTACTAACTCACAAATTACAAATATGGGACAAGAACACATAAACAAATTTAAATGTAAAGAACTCCTCTAAGTCACTAAGACAAAAATCATTGAAGAAAATCAGATGAAAGATGTACTGTCAACTCATGAGATTAAATGAAAGTTGCCAATAAACACATAGAATAAGTTCAATGTCACTTCTAATTACAAAGCAGCAAGTTGCACTCACAATGAGATGCTCTGTATATATATAAGCAGGTCCTATTATACCTGGTTGTGAAAGAAAACAGTATAGATTTATGGGATATTCATTTGAAAAATGTTTTAAATGGATTTTAAATACAAATGCACTTTATCCAGCCAAGCTATGTGTGATGGAACATACTACTAGTAAGGGAGGTCCCTGGCCAGGGGTGAGGTTGAGCAGAGTCACAAAGCCTGCTGGCAATCCAAGTGCTGCACCTCATACCCTGCAAAATTGTTGGCCTGTAACATTAGCATTTGTGAACCCAGGGGGCCGTGACTGGTGTTTTTGCAGCTGGAGGTCAGAAAGACTCTGGGATTAGACTGATTGAAATTTGGCTTGTGGGAACAGGGAGGAGCCCTAGAGACCTCATGATCTGACCTTCTCCTTTGATAGATGATCAGGGGGTGGGGTGTGAGGAATGACCTATTCAATGACCTAACCCAATCAGAACAGAGTTAGGGTTTCAGGTCTTACTTCCTACCCCAGGCTCCTGCCATTTTTCAACCCCATATGTTCCATTCCAGCTAGTCAACCTTCTAAATGACGTGGTTTGTGGTCCATCATCTGGCTTTCATTAATAACCAGCTAGTCTGGTGCTTTGTAAGGTTCTGTCATAATGTCTACGGCTTTTGTGGTACCAGTCACTTCGGGGGCAACATATCATGAAGAATGCTGACCAGTAAGGGCCTGGGCGTAGGTACCCCTGCAGAAGACTACATACCTGAACAGGTTTCTTCCTGCGAGCACTCCAAGAGTCACTTTTTCATCTGCGGGAAATAAAAGTTCATGGTAACTGTTTTGACTATTTCTTAAAGCCCCTTTTAATGTATTTTCTGAAAGTCCTGATATTTTCTTGTTATTTTTTAGATAAAAATTTTTATTCTTTCTTTGAGAATTTCATACAGTGTGTTTTGATCATATTTATTCTGCTTCTCCCAGCTCCTCCCAGATCTACCCACCCTTTCCTCCTTGCCCAGTATGTGTCCTCATTTTTTTTTTAAGCTCATCAAGTCCAATTTGTGAGCTACATACTCTTGGGTGTAGGGCCATCCACTGGAGTGTAGTCAACCTATCAGGGGCCACACCCTTAAAGAAAAAGGACTCCGCCTTCCAACAGCTATCAGCTAGCGGTAGGACTTCACATCCACCTACGCCCTCCATGATGGGATTTTGTCTGGCATGTCCTGTGTATGCTTTCACAACCACTGTGAGTTGGCATAGGCAACCTCCCTGTTGCATCTGGAAAATACTGTTTCATTGTAGTCATTAACCACCTCTGGCTCTTACATTCTTTCTGCCTTTTCTTCTGAGCTGATCGCTGAGACAGGAGGGTCGCTTAAGCCCTATCTGAGTGTGCTGGATAGCTTTAGCTCTTAACTTGACACACCTGGGTTGAGGGAGCCTCAATTAGGGAATTGCCTCCTTTGGACTGACCTGTGGTCATGTCTGTGGGATTTTTTCTTGATTGTTGAGTGATGTGAGAGGGCCCAGCCCACTGTGGGTGGTGCCCCCCTGGGCAGGTTGTATAAGAAAGCGGGCTGAACACAGGCCAGGAGAGCAAGACAGTAAGAAACATTCCTCCGTGGCCCATGCTCCATCCCCAGCCTCCAGGTTCCTGCCCTGAGTTCTGACCTTGAACTCCCTCGGTGATGAACTGTGACCTGGAAGATATGAGCCAAATAAATCCTTTCCTCCCCAAGTTGGTATTGGTCAGAGTATTTTGTCACAGCAATGGAGAAACAAACTAGAGCACTGAGCAACAGAAAGGGGCTATTTCAAAGTCACAAAGCCATGTAAACCACATATGCAGATGCATAGAACAGGAAGACTTGCAAAAAGAATTCCCAGGTCCCAATACAATTCCTGTGCAAGTGTAGCTTTGGAAGGAAACTAAGAATAAAGCTGGAGGTTGATTTCTGCAGCAGACCTGCTATAGAAATGGATGATATATCCAGAGAGGTCATGAAGCAGGGGAATGATACAGCTCAGACCAGCTTTGCTCAACAGAAGCCTAATGTGAACCACCTTCCCAGTTTTCTGTGCTCTAGTAGCCACATCGAAAGTAAGAGAAACAACTGAAGTCAATTTTAATAATACATTTTATTTCATCTAGAAGATATGAAATATTATTGTTTCAGCATGTAACTAATATTTTAAATTAATGAAATATTTTATATTCTCCTTTTCTTACTAATCCTGAAATTCTGGTGTATATTTCTTAAGAGCCCAACTGGGTTCAAATGCTGCAGTCCTTAGAAAGACTTGATTTATATTTAGAGCTCATAGAACTTATACTTGAAACATGATCAAGTTATTTCAAACACATTTAAAAGGTCTCCAAAACTTGAAGTGTATGTCAGTTTTTAAATTAAATTAAAAATTTAAAAATTCAATTCTCAGTTACATGGATCACATTTCTAATGCCCAATAACTACATGTGGCTACCATATTGGACAGCATTGGTCAGATTCCTGTAATGACTCTGAGTCATTTGTCCACCCATCTAAACCCTTCAGAGAATATTTGGCTTTTCAGGAAAAAACACTAGATTAATTTACTGTAGACTAAGTCAACACAAAAAGATAGGCCTCACCTCAAAACAAAGAGATAGTTTATTCTGGAGCCAAATATTAGTGTCCATGGCCCAGGAACATAGACTCAGGTTTTCAAATACTGTGTTCTACCATGGAAGTGGTTACATGAATTTTTATTAGTTACAGAACAAAGGAAACCATAAATCAAAGTGTACCACACACTAGTGAAGGTCACAGGCAGGCAGGTTACAACAAAGCAGGAAAAACTGATATAAACTGTAGATGGTAACTGATAACGTTCTTAGCTTTTGGATTTGTGAAAGCTCATGGTCTACTAAGAGCATACTGCAAGGTTTGATAGTCTCAAGGATGTTAGGTCAGACACAGGTGTGGGCAATGGATAGCTTTCAAAGGGAATAAAATAGTCCAAGATTATTTGACTCTGCTTGGAACATTTTAACTCTCCATAATCTTGAAGACAGCCTTATAAAATCTTTAACACAGGTGCAGCTTTTCTATTTATTCTCTCTCTCTCTCTCTCTCTCTCTCTCTCTCTCTCTCTCTCTCCCTCCCTCTCTCTCCCTCTTCCACCCCCTTCTAGGAACTTCAATTTAGAGCAAGAAAAAAGTCAACAAATAAGTTAAAAAGAGTTTCCTTAGGGATGGCCAGCAGGCTACTGGGAAGGTCACAGAAAGAACAAGGAGAGCATCGGGTGGGACCATTGACTAAGCCTCCCTGCAGAGATACAGGAGGAAGAATAAAATGACCAGATCAAGGCTAGCATGGCAATAATTTGAGATGCTTGTTAATTGTGTTAGTGTTGGAGGAAGAATGAGAAAGGGTTTAAAGCTCATCTTTGCACCTATGTAGGATTTCCATAAATTGTTTGACAAAAGAGGCAATTATATAATATGAAACAGTATTCATTAGAACATGAGAAAAGGTGAGTGAGACAGGCAGCTTTGTAAAAACTAGGACAATTAAACGTGAAGAGTCAGCCTTAGTCATAGACATGCTGGAGACCAGCCCTGTGGCCCCAGGAGGCCATTTCTCCTTTTGTTTTCAATAGCCTCATCCTTGTCCAGACTGTCCCCCATTTACTATGGTTCAACTTAATGACTTTTCAGTTTCATAATAATATGAAAGTAGATCCATGAAACCACAAGTTACTCAACATTGTATTAAATAGGCTTCCTGTTAGATGATCTTGCCGAACTGTAGCATGTCCAAGGTAGTCTAGGCTAACCCATGATGGTTCATAAATGAATTTTATATTCATCATGTTCTCAATTTACAATATATTGATCAGAGTAATCCCATTGTAAATTGAGGAACATCTCTATAATATCACCATAAATATGGTAAAATATCTACATATAATATTTCATTCTTTAGCATAACACTTTTTAGAATCATGGAAATTTAGAGAGTGCTGTGGTTTAGATATTAAATATATCCTCTGAAAACTCATGTGCTGAAGTCTTTACTCCCATTGCAATGTTTGACAGGTGTTGGGGGTACTCTAGGGAAATAGTTAGATCATGAGCTCTGATCTAATCAATGGATTAATCCATTGATGAAGTCTTAATTTTAAAATTACATTTATTCATTTATTTGGGGCACATGTATATGAATGGGTATGTGCATGTCACGGTGCACATGTGGAGGTCAGAGAAAAACTTGCAGGAGTCTGTTCTCTTCTTCCAACATCTGGTTTCCAAGGACCAAACTCAAGCACATGCCTTTACTCACTGAGCCATCTTGTTGGCCCAATGGATTATTCTTCATTGATGGCATTGTTGGAAGGTGGTACAGACTAGGAAGTAGGGCTTGGTTGGAAGAAGTGGTCACTGAGGCTACATATTCTCTCTCTCTCTCTCTCTCTCTCTCTCTCTCCATGTTTGTGCAGATCCCTCCCTCCCCCCCACTCCCTCCATCCCTCCCCTAGTTGCCATGAGGCAAATGGTTTTATGGTATCAATGCTCCCTGCTATGATACTCTGTCACCAGAGCCTAATGCCTTTGAAACTGTGAGACAAAATAAATCTCTATTTCCTTAAGTTATTTTCATCACACATTCTGTCATAGTAGCAATAAAACAGACTCACAGAGAGACGCTTATTTTACTTATCAAATCCTGATACAATAGTCAAGATGAAAAAGTACTACTGTAGGTATGCTGTAAATCTTAGCTGGGTTGTTCATCTTCATAATAAGCCTATTAGGTAGATAATATTATCATTCTCATTTTACAGATGAAGAAGCAAAAGCAGAGAGAGATTTAGAAACTTACCCAAGTTCTCTTACTAATTGGAAGAGCCAGAATTCAAGTGCAGTATGGCTCCAGGGTCCTGCTAGGGTAGGTGCAATGTACCATGCTCCTGGGTACAGGTTTCTTAGGAGGTACATACTCTGCTGAGGCTTCAGGGATTGCACAGTTTGGAGACCACTACTAAGGGCCTGGTGCTCACAGCACAGAAGAATCATCTTAAGGTGTTTCTGTAAGCAGAGTTCAAGGGACAAGATACTGCATTTTACAAAGTGGTCTCAATGGACCACCTGTAGAGGCTCAAATTCTTGGATGCGGCCTAGACCTATTGAGTCATACTCTCTAGGGAGGCTTAGTCTGTTCATTAAAATGGGTTACCAGAACTTTAGTGTTTACTTGAATGTGATAACCACTGGTCTGGGATCCAGGAAGAGAGACTTCACCTGAATTAAGATAAGAATAAACTCAATACATTTGTTTCTCCCAGAAAAGCACCTTTGGGAAGCAGATGAGCCTTGAACTTGACTTATGACAATCAAGTACAAAGTCAAAATGGGCAGGCCGGGAAGATGGCACTGTCCCTGGTGGGCCCTGGGCCAAACACAAGATGTCTGCTCTTTCATCCTGACATTTACATGGGGGCACCTGATGTTAAGACTGTGCTCTCGGACTGCCATTTTCTCCTGTGAAAGGTGTCTCCTTGCTTTTCCCTGCGTATACAGCTTGTGGCCCTTCAATCTGTGCTGTGTGTTAGGGAGCTCAGATACACATGACACAGTCTGAGAAGGATTTTGCTTTCTGTTGCTCAGGTTATGAACCAACACTCCATTGTTCCCCTGGCCATTCACGGGTGTCGTGGACACCCTAATCCTGACCTAGTCCCTGTAAGTGTGTGGAGGTGATAATCCAGGGACCTCTGTCCTAGCAGCCCAGTGGCCATAATTCTACAACGCCAGCTTCACTTC